TAAATTATGTAGCATTGGGCAGTCAATAAAATCAATATAATTGAACATCTAACATTTTTCAAAAATGATCCCATTTTAATTTCGAAATATTGAATGACTCTTTCATGCCTGCCATTTCCAGACTAAAAATTGTTTGTAAGATTTTAAATGCCTCTAGATTTAAAAAGATTTTAAACAAGGAATTTCCAAATTATTCTGTGTTCCTGATGTAACCTTATGATAACACATGCACTCAAAAAGATTGTTGCGCCCCCCATTTCTTTTTAAATCACAAAAAATCATCGTGACATTGTAGTTGTGTGTCAGACCCAAAGATTTAACAGATGTTTCTCTTCGTATTTCGACGTGCTGTATTCGAATATGAAGCCAGAATTGCGCCACCACCCTCTAGTTTTTTTTTTAATTTCAAAAAACCAACATAAAATTTTAAGTTGTAAATCCTGGAGGATGGCGGTGCAATTCTGGCTTCAGTTTTGGATTCAGCTCGTGAACATACGTAGAGAAATATGTGTCAAATCTTCGGGTCTGACACCCCCCTAAAACAAAAAATACAACTTCACTGTGGTTTTCCGCGAATGAAAAAATTAGGTAAAGGCGCAATTCTGACTTCCGAATCGGAGTCAGCGTATCATACATAAAAAAACATGTATCAAGTCATTGGGTATAACAACTGTTTTTTTGTATGCCTGTGTAAGAGCCTGGGTAACAGTTTCGTAACATAAATGTAACCTTTTTGGAGAATTTTGAGTGTAAGTCAGCTCCAGATCTTGTCATTCACTTGTGCAGGATGAAAAATCAACGTTATTTGGGGATGTACTTCCTGGACCAGCCTGTGTTATTTGTGAAGGACATCTCCATACTGAAATCCATCTTCCACAAGGATTTCGAATACTTCTCCGACCGAAGTTTCCACGCGTCGCGCGGGGACATTTTGAACAAGGAATCGCTCTTCGCCAGGAAAGGTCAGTGACCCCAAGGAATGAGTATCTGGTGTTGTGTGTGATCTTCAAATGACGTAAGAAATGTCAAGAAGTTAACAAGGTTCGAAAACACTAATAAAACATCTTGTACGTTATTTTAAGCGTTCTTAATTAAAAAGAAGTCAATATCTTATTTGAATAATATTCATTTCATAATAACATCAACTAGAATGCAGTGAATCTTTGAATTGTATGTTTACATGGGCTTCACTAGTAAAATCCATTCCATCAACAAGCTAGACAAAACCGTTTAAAGAAACAGAAGTCCCCTTTAATTTATATACTAACTGTATTATATAAAAATTCAAAAAACGGCATCGTTTAGCTCTAAATGCACCGTGTAAGATGACATAATCACTAAATGGTTAAGTTCTTTACTTTTTTCGCTTATCGATCATCGGGCCATGCCAGACGTGCATCCCACCGGGACTCAATTTGATTATCGGGGTAGGTGCTTTTCTGTAAAAGGGATTCAGCATTTTAATGCTGATTCAATTTTTATACTCCAAAGTTGAAAGCTCTGGGGAATGGAGTGAAATGATGATGATGATATGATGAAATACACACACAAACATACAGGAACCCTCACTTATTATTATTATTATTATTATTATTATTATTATTATTATTATTATTATTATTATTATTATTATTATTGTTATTAATACTATTATTATTTAAACTTTCTTTTCTATTATTATAAAGAGAAATTCACAGGTTGTACATGACCAAACATATTTTTCATTGTATTTTTGTTATGAGCTCACATCTATCCTACCCGGAAAAATCTTCAGAGCTATTCCATTTATTGATAGGACTACAGACTTCATAGTCTTATAAATATTCACATTAATATTCAGATTTTTTAAACAAGAAAAAAGTGAAAGAATTACTGCAGTGCTATCTTGCTTTAAAATTATGATTAAGTTTTGTGCTTAAGGCCGTGTTGAATGTCTGTGCATAATTAGGGTGGGATTGCTTTTATTGAGTAGTGTTAATATTGTCTTGCTTTCTTGGTTTTTGTGAATGCCGACCGGATTGAGGTAAGTTAATATGTCAGAACCAAAGTAATAAAAATAACAACTTTGCTTTCACAGGTAAGAACTGGAAGGATCTTCGCGTTAAGCTCAGTCCCGCCTTCTCTTCGGGCAAGCTGAAGAAATTCTTCGTGCTACTAGACCAAAAGGCAGCAAATCTAGTCACCTTCTTAGAACATGCTGTACGAGAAGGTAAGGCTTTCACGAATTTAGTTGTGGACGCGAAATGCTATCGTGGTAATAGGACAAAATTCAAAATTGTATGATATTTAATGTCGAAACCACACCATCTTCTAAATCCGATTATTTCGGTTACATTTATCCAAATGTATTTTAAGTATTGCAAATATCGTAAATAGGCAAAATGATTTATCGTTATTGGTTTTTCAATTAATTGGATATTTTAAGGAAATGAGTTCAATATAAAGTAAACAAATAAAACGTTCAATAAAGTAACAAATAAAAAGAAATTGTAGGATATATGTACACAAGAAAAAAACAACAAATTGGCCCCAGCATGCCCATCGAAACGGTTTGAGGAAAATAACAGGAATGCAGTTTAAGTTGCAGATGTTGAGATAAACATTTTTCGATTTCAAACTTTCAAAACCAATGCTTTGCCAGCAACATCGCCACTCGGAAGTGCCACCGAGTGGCTCTGCGTGAAGGCTGCGTGCGCAAAGCGAGGGAGCGGTGTGTGCGAGAGAGGTGTTCCGCAGGGCGAGTGGTGGATGCGAAAGAGGCGAGCGGCCGCTTCACCATGGACGCTGTGTCCACCATCGGCTTCGGCCTGGAGGGCAGGTCGCTAATCGACGACAACGACCCGCTGCACCGCCTCCTCAACTCCATATTCGTCTTCGGCCGCCTTCTCAACATCCTGGTGAGTTTGCGGGACTCCGTACCACAAATATTCACCACATCTCGATGTTTAACACCTTATAACACTTTTTATTTTAACATTTTATTTTTATTTTTGACACTTTTTAACACTTTTTTAACAATTTTTATTTTGACATTCTTTTAAAAATTTTTGACACTTTTTATAAGAGAGCATCTGTTCTCTTACTGACTTCAATTAAAATGTTCTGTGAGATAAAAGGGTCTCACAGTTATATTTTAAACAAGCGGAGCTAGTTCACCGATAACAGCGTGGATTACGTATTTGACAACTTAATTGATCAATATGGTCTTTTTTAAGCAAGAAATTAGTAAAATAAGTTGGTAACAAAGTATTAAGTACCTGAAACCGATTGATTTCTTCGAAATCGTAGCAATATTTTTATTGTCATCACTGAAATACTCGTAGGTTCTGAAAGTGGCTTTGACAGTCAACGTGATGAACAGTAGTATACATTTGCCATTCTGGAGCCCGGAGAATACTAATTTGGGTTGCGCTTAACGGCGAATAAAAATTACGTATTAGATAACTAAGAAATTAATTACATGAATTTTCTTTCGTTAGTATTAAAGCACTTTTACTTTCTCGCCCTTACTAGTAACAAGAGAAAATAATGTACGCCGGAATACGTCGAATTTTCGACAGAATAACTTATTTCCGAGCCCTGGTATCTAAAATGTGGTTCAATCTTGTGTCTATAATTAATTACTCTAACACGACATGAAACCAGAATGCATGTTTTGTTGGTCTTTAAAACAGAAAAATCTATTGACATCAAAATGTCTGTTGACCACAGACATACAGAGACAAGGACGGACGAACCGACGAATGGACGGACGGACGAACCGATGAATGGACGGACGGATAAATGGGCAGACTGACGGACGAACTAGCGGACGAACGAGCGGACGGACGAACGATCGGACGGACGGACAAGTGGACGGATGAATGGTCGAGCGGACGAACGGACAAGCGGACGAGCGGACGGACGTGCAGACAGACGGACGGTCGTGCAGACGGATGGACGGGCAGATGGAAGGTTAGGCAGACTGACGGACGGGCAGACGGACGGACGTGCAAACGGATGGACAGGCAGTCTGATAGACGGGCAGACTGACGGGCGGCAGCCTGACTGACTGTTAGACGGACGGACGTGCAGACTGACGGACGTGCAGACGGACGGACAGGCAGACGGACGGATGGTCGGGCAGACTGACGGACGTGCAAACGGATGGACAGGCAGACTGATGGACGGGCAGACTGACGGGCGGGCAGCCTGACGGACGGGTAGACAGACGGACGTGCAGGCTAACGGACGTGCAGACGGACGGACAGGCAGACTGACGGATGGCCGGGCAGACTGACGAATGGTCGGGCAGACTGACGGACGTGCAGACGGACGGACGGGCAGACGGTCGGACATGCAGACGGACGGATGGGCAGACGGGAGGACGGACGTGTAAACTGACGGACGTGCAGACTAACGGACGCACAGGCAGGCGGCATAACGTGCCACGAGAGCGCGGCGTGGGGGGGGGGCGTGCGCAGGCGATCGGCATGTTCGTGCG